GCGCAGCACCCATGCTCTTAACCCATTTGATGCCCACAGCAGACATCGCTAGCCTATCACTGAATTCCTTCCCATGAGGACTCCAGTTCCTCTCCACAGACCTGTGGGAGCTACCAGTCTGCCCCTGGGGTTGCGGGTGGATTAACTGACAGTGCAGCCCCTCCTCCCACCCCAGCTACCTGTGTCACAGCCCTGAGGACCCTCGGTGCAGGGCCCGCCCCACCAGCTCGCACAGGGCTTTGTGGAATCAGAGAAAGGCATTCCTCACTGGGCAGGCGGCCCGCTCCAGGGTGCCCTCCCCACCAGACACCGTCGTGCACAGCTGCCCTGGGCCCGAGAGGTGGGACCAGAGGGGGACGGTGGAAGGACAGCCGCTCTGTGCACCTTACAGGTGACATTCTCCCTCAGACAAAAGCCCCAGCCACACACACTCAAGCCATGAAACAGTAAAACCCAGGCGAGGTTCTCTTCCTATCACACCGCCAGGGGCCCAGGCTGAACGCCCTGGAAGCCTGTCCTTCACCCGAGGGCTGGGCCACCCAGCCCGAAAGGTGCCAGCGGCAAAAGGACGCCTGCAACTCCCCAGGGCCTGAGGGGAGCCGCTACTTTCTGCTTTCGTGTCTGAGAGGTCCTGTGGGGTCGCCCCGGCCTTGTTAAAGAGAGCGGAGGCCTCGCGGAGGCAGCTTATGAAGGTGGTGGGGCAGGCAGACGCCCAGCGGCCGCCCGGAGCAAGCAGACAGGAGCCAGCGGGTTTGCTCATCTGCGAGGGGCGCGGCCTCCGACCCCAGCTCCAGGCCCAGAGGCTCTGTCGGAGGCCGAGGTCTCCTCGCTCCGGCTGGGTCTCTTCACGTGCCGGCGTCCCCCCTGAGGCCAGCGTCTCCCTCCTGCTGCCTGGGCAGGAGGCACCTGGATGTCACCTGCACAGCTCCAGGTGTGGGTGGTGTCGCAGCTTCTCGAGCAGGTCCTCCTCTGTGGGTTCCTCCAGGATATCCCTGTGGGCCCCGAACGGGGGTGGGGAGGGGACAGTGAGGTCTCTGCGGGCGGGGTGAGCCCGACCCGCGGTGGGAGCCTCGGGGGGCGGGGTCCTGCGTGCAGTGTTGGGGGGGTGAGCCCAGCACAAGGGTTGCGCAGCCGGGCAGACACCACACACAGGAGTCCCCAGAACAGGTCACAGGTACAACTGTGACCTGACTGGACGTGGACCCTGAGCACTCAGGTCCACCCTCAGGGGGGCCATGCCATCAGCGGGAACGCGTGCCCTCGACAGCCCGGGAGAAAGGCCCATGCCCGTGGGCGTCAGAGGGGCCGGCTGCCAGGTCGCAGCACGGCCCGGTGGGAGGCAGTGCCCGCCGCCTGGCTGTCTGAGGCGACCAGAGCGTCGCTGCAGCCCAGGTTCCCCAGAGGGGAAGGCTCCCTCCTGCTCAGTCACCTGCTTTCAGCCCCCGACAGAACCATCCAGGGACAAAAGGGCACCTGGAGGCTGGCTCCCCCCATCCACCCTCCACATCGTCGCTAGGGGAGGACAGGGTTCAGACTCTGGCTCTACACCCAAGGGGTGGGCAGGGCTGACGGCGAGGGTCTGGTCCCGAGGGTCACTGCCTGCCCACTGCCTGTGCCCCAGCCCGCCCCGCCCACACACCTGAACATGAGCTCCACAGTCGAGTGGTAGGAGGGGGCCTCCAGGGCCCCGAGGGGCTGCGGGGGCTGCTGGTCCCGGCGGTCCCACTTGTGGATGAAGTTCTGGCCAGCAGGAGGGAGGGTGGGAGGGTGAGAGCATGGCCAGTGAGAGTGTGGAGACAGGCCCTGCCGTTGCCACCCTCAGGTCGGCTCAGAGTCCAGGGTGGGGGGTGGGGGCCACCTCCCAGATGCTGGGTCAGTCAAAGCTGCCAGGACAAGATGCCCCAGGGCTCTCCTGAGGGCCCTTGCAGCCTGAGAAGCCCCACAGCTCAGCTGCCAGGAATATCCAAGCGACCGTGAGCCCAGGAAGGAGCCCACTGGCCCAGGGCTGGGTGCACCAGCACACTCGTTCCCCAGAGACCTGGCCCAGTCGTGGCCCCAAGCGGCCCCAGGGAGCTGGGGACCTCGGGCGAGTGTGGCCCTGCTGGGATGTCCAGTACCTCCAGGATCAGAGCTAGGAACAGGTTGACCCAGATGACAGACGACACCAGCCACCACAACACAAAGTAGAGCTTGGACCACCTAGGGGGACAGGGCAGCCTCAACCTGAGAGCAGAGAACTCGGGGGGCCTCAGAGAGACCTTGGCCTGACAGTGGAGAACCTGGGGGCTGGGGGCCAGGAAAGGGAGGCCCGGCCTGTGAACAGAGCACCAGGGGTGGGGGACAAGGAGGCCCTGGCCCGAGAGCAGAGAACCCGGGGACAGGGAGGTATAAACCCAGAGTCACAGGCCAGCTGACACCGGGACTGCCGGAGTTCCCTGTGCAGGGGGCAGGATGCCACCCCGCCAGGCTCTGCGACTCACGGGCCCGAGTAGCGCCGGTAGGCGTCCATGAACACCTGCCAGTTGTTCACCACCATCACGTTCCACAGGGTGATCAGGGCGGCCTGCGGGTAGGGCACTCAGAGTCCCGGGGGTGCCAGGGAGATGTGGGGGGAGGCGACGGGAGAGTGAGGAGGGACAGGGAGGGGCGGGGAGGGGGTCAGGGGTGACGGGGAGGGTGGGTGCTCAGGGAGGTGCCAGGGAGAGGGAAGAGGCTGGGGTCCAGAAGCTACCGGCGGGCAGAGGGCCGGGTAGTGGCTCACCGCAAAGTCATCGAAGTTGTTGGGCCAGTATTCCAGCTGCTCGAAGCTCCCGCAGGACTCGGTGCCATTGGCAGCAGCCAGGCTGGGAGACACACGCCCGGTCACGGGGGGCCGGGGACACCACAGGGAGGGGGAGGGGCGGGGGGCCCCAGCGCCACCCACCCTACAGCACAGACACTTCACCTGCTGTTTCCAGGGGGGGCCACGATGACACCCCGAAACAGGTTGATCCCAATGATGGCGAAGCTGTAGTACACCACCTGGGCAGGCGGGCGGGCAGGGCCTGGTCAGCACGCGGGCAGCCCGAACCACGGCCGGCCCCACTCAGGACACCCTGCCCCCGCAGCAGCGACAGCCGGGAGCATCTACCCGAGTCTCCTCTGTCAGCAGTCACCGCTGAAGGCACACGCAGGGATAGCACCCAACACACCAGTGACAGCCCCGACCACACGGGTGCCCCCCCAACAACACAGGCTGCATTAGCGACACAGCCCACGGCCACGCGCACGGCCGCCCGAGACAGCCCATGACGCCACAGGTGTACATCCTGCCAGGAGGAGACGGACCTCAGGGGCAAATGGCTTAGTGCCTGCAGAGCTCTGGGGCGCAGAGGGGCTGTGTCCCCTCGGGCCTGGACGAACTCTGGTCCCCTGGGGGGGGGGCTTGGCCAGTCGTGCGCCTGCCATCCACCAGGGGGCGGCTGAGGGCCCCAGTTAGAGAGGGACCAAAAAGGAGGAGTGACAGCCCTGGGCTAGCTCTGGCCTCGGCCCCTCTGGCCTCAGTTTCCCCACTGAGGACAAGAAGGCCAGCAGACATGCCTAGACCCTCCCCACTCAAGACTCCATTCCAACACCCAGGCACACGTGTGGCCCCAACAAGGGTACAGGCTCTGCACAACTTCCTTCTGTGTGGACCCCACACCCACGGTGCTCACAGTAAAGAACCAAAGCCCCGAGCAGAGCCCATGACCACAGTGGGTCCACCTGCCCCTCTCCAGCCAGACTCAGACCCCCAGCCTCCC